GAACGTAACATACTACACGACAATTAGTGATAGCTAAAAATTTATATAACAAGAAAATAGTGTCATAGACTCTACGAGAGTCCATAAAGTGACCCACTGAAATCTGCTCGCATATCTATATTGTGATTGTGCGGCAAACATTGTACGATTGTCATTTGCCCGTTTCTAGTTCAGTAGATTAGTTTCCTCTTCAGTTTGAAACTCCATTATGTGTCAGAGTCAATTACCTTATCTGCTGTCAGCCAATTTCAGGAAGGATCAATACCCATGTCAAAGTCAAAAGCACTTTAACGTGAGGCAAAAAATTACGAAGGGTTGAATATACTTCGTTAAGAAACTTTGAACTTTTGACAAAAATTGACGCTGGGATTAAATCACCAATAACCGATAAATTAATCCACTGAGCTAGTAACGACAGCCAATTTAATCATGTATATTGACAGATAAAATTATCCTAATGCGTCCACATCAAATTGTCAATAGTGGTCTCTGGTTAATTAATAATCGATACCAAGTTTCGAGACACGGTTCGCAGCACGACGGCAAGTTTCCCCGTCATGCAACTATCAAGTCCTGCGGTCCTGGTAAAATATATCGATTTGACAGTCAGTCGCTCGGCATTAAACCAACCGATAAGCTTACATCAATGCACCAGCTTATTATAAGGTTCATCCGAGTAAAATTAATATGAACATTTACGAAACATTCAAATAAAATCTAGAATTTCCTATTACGTTTAATTATTGGAATTTCTTTTAAGACAAACATTTTTAAATCAATTATCCTGTGTATTATAATTTATTAAGTTGTCGATGTAGAGTTACCAAGTTTCCTAACAGCTAAATGCTTATCGATCCGACGTGGTTGAAGGTGTCAAACGGGTCTTCTAACGGACCGGAAGCCGCGCAAGCCGCGTTTCGGTTCGGCCGGGAAACGCAAGACGTAACTTTTGTTTCTATCGTATAGCCCGTAGGAAATTGGAAAGAGCTGGGAGATGGGGCAAACCCTGGTGGAAGCAACTTCGCCAGTTCTGTTGCCTGGAAATTTCCCGTGGATTAACCGGAAGCCCGCAAAACCGCCGCCACGTATCTTTGATACGTCGTCCGGTTCGCGTTATCGACCAACAGAACCGTGAGAAATTTACGTCTTCGGGCAAGTTCTCACGGTTTCCGGTCTCTTCCCGCGTCCGGTCGAACGCGCGAATGGAGTGGGCGGGAAAATGGAGTAGGTGGCAACTTCTAAGAAGGCGCTGCCAGGTCCGTTTTTCTACAGGGAAAGGAGGATGCTAATACGATCCGAAGAAAATCGAAGGTCTGATCCCGTGACGGACTTAATCTCTCCCTTCGGAGGATTGCGAAAATTGAAGTTTTCAAAACGACGCCTGTGATAATTAAATAATATGCAAACGAGAAAAGTGAATTATTCTTTTCTACTTTCGTGAAGTTTCCCTCGCTTCTTTCTGTTCTCGTAGATTTCGAAGATTCTGAAAAACCTCCCAATCTTTGAAGTCAGCTTTTCGACATGCTTCCCCCAAAGTTCCGGTGAACAGCTTCAAACTTTATTGAAAGTTCATATTGCAAATTTGCTAAGTTTTCGCGAATGGTACACCCAAGATACACCCACGCTTCGAAAAAAAAAATACTTCATCAAATGGCATTCACACTCGAACATTCCTTCGTTTACAATAAAAAGAAACAATTATCTTTTATTTTGATGTCATAACGCAATCGTTTTTATACTTATTTTTCATTATTACCTCAATTATGATACAAAATGACAGAGAATTGTGTTCCACGTTTATTTCTACTATCAGTTTCATTCACAACGAATTTCGCGTCGTTTCCCGTTTAGCTGCAAGATCAAAGTACTGAAAGCTTGAAGTTGCCCTGACCGCACACTATTCACCAGGCTCGTATCTCATCTGGCTGGGTTATGGGCTTGTCAACATGCAAACTAGTTTGACATTAAATTCAGGCTACCCGTTACCGAACCTTATTCGCTAAAGTATGAAAGCACGTAAGCCGATCAACCATTCTTCATTTTATGCCAGATCACTGCTGGAGAGAAGACAACTGAGACGAAGTTTAAGGATGTATTGGCTATACAGTCAAACCCAAAAGTTTATGTACCTTAGAAAAACGTATTTCCTATAATTAAAAAGAAATCAGACGTCGGAAGAATAATGCTAATAATAAATAGCTACGTGCTAAAAAGTATAGAAGGAAATATCCAATTAAGTATNAGCTTTGTTTAAGTATATGTATAGCCTATACATCCTTAAATTG